GTGGAGGAGGGCAACTTGTCCACGGCAGAAAAGCTGCGGAGAGAGAGGTTGAGAGAGAGAGGTTGAGAGAGAGAGAGAGAGAGAGAGAGAGAGAGAGAGAGAGAGAGAGAGAGAGAGAGAGAGAGGTGAGGGCGGTGTCACCGGTCAACATAAGTCGACCTGTTGTTAATCCAATCGCTGAAATTGAATATGTAGATTGCGTGTGTTGCCGGTCTTACTGCTTAGTTTAGCGATTCTGTTTTCTACTCTTTGTAGGTGACGATGATAATGTCCTTCGAATCCTTGAAGAGTAGTTGCGCGTGTATGCCAACTCATTGCGAGGCCTGCTTTGTACTCCGATGACGATGCTTTTGGTTCCGCACAACGATGAGGATTACGGATCCCGTTGTGCACTGCCTTTGGCCGATTGATATGCACTGCCCTTGCATTACATGACTGGTACTCCGAGATTGCACTTGGGGAGGGAGAAAGAAGGAGAGGTAGATACCGAGGGAGACAGGCAATTTCACGTGTGGGCTCTGTATCGGTTACGTTACATGAACCGTTCTTCATTTGATCGATAAAATTGAGTTTCTCTAATGGCTTTGTCCGCGTGTTTCTCGCTATGAAACGGCTGTGATGTTGTGTTTGGTTTTTGTCAGTTCGGATGCTGGTGTTGATGATTTCAGAGAACGACGATCATGATCTCAAAACGTTAAAGACGGAAAAAAAAAATAAAAAAATACTGAAAGAAAGCTAAGATAGCAACAAACAATGTCAAACATCACGGTCAGAGACAGAAAGAAGCAAGTGAGATTCTTCATTGGGGTTGCTTCCTGACTCTTTGTGACCATTGCTGTTTACTATTCTGCTTTCCACAAACACTTAGAAAGACAGAAGACGCGAAGAGCTAAAACGGTGATACATAAAGCGCCAGCCATACACTAACAAAGAAAGCGTAGAGTGAGAGACAGAAAGAGCGAAGTGAGATTCTTCATTGGGGTTGCTTCCTGACGGTGTTCGCGGGCGCACTTTCTGTAATGCTGGCCACACTTTTCCCAGATTGCCATGTTACRTCCCGTTTTCGAAAAAAAAAAGAATGATGCTGTCTTTGACAGRGGTCCTTTGTGTTCCTGGACTRTTCTACTGTTAAGCGTCATTCTATTGCGATTTCTTTTCCGTCGGGGCTGAATTGCATGCACCTGTTTCCCACGGCTCTTTTCTGATACTCGCAACATGTTCCTGTCGTGAACTGTGCTGGGCGCTGTGCCTCGTGGAAATAAATCGAAAAATTTGACACCCCGACGCCGGTGCCCGTGTGTCCTCCTGGGTCGTCATCGCTCATGGTTTTCTCGCCATGACCACGTCTGGTCTACACTGTGTCTACAGTAAACGCTGTCTTCTCTGACATGTGCACCTCTCTGCTGTTTGTTTCTCTGTATTGTTCTCTGCTGTGTATTGCACTGCCTTCTCTGACCTGTGCAGCTCTCTACTCTGTGTTTCTCTGTATTGTTCTCTGCTCTGAGCTACTCGCGTCTCTCATATCCCCTGAATGGAATTACTTCGCGTGCCCCTTTTCTTCGCGGGCTCTGTTACCGGTCACGTTAGATGAAGTGTTCTTCGTTTGATCTATAGAATTGATTTTGTCTAATGCCTTTCTCCGCGGTTTTCTCGCAATGAAACGGCTGTCGTGTTGTTTGTTTTTTTCAGTTGGGATGGTGATGTTGGTGATATCCGAGAACGACGATGATCGTGATGTGCAAACGTTACAAACCGGAAAAAAAAGAAAAAAAAAAACACACACAGTGAAAGAAATGTAAGATAGGACCAAACAATGCTAAATATTAACGTCACACAGACAAACATGTGCGATTCTTCATTGGGCCTGCTACCTCATGATGTTCGCGGGCGCAAGCTGCGCTGGCTGCACCTGCTTGTTATTGTTATTTCTTGTTTGAATAAGGGAGGAGGAGATAAGGAGGAGGAGATTGGTTGGCGAAGAAGAAGAGTATTATCTTTGGTCTATGCTGGAGTACATCATCTTCCTCTTCTTTCTTACTTCTTCTTCTTCTTCTTTCCCTCTCTCTCCTTCTTTTTGCAATTGGACGGCGTTGTACTTTCTAATGAATGTATACTTCGAAATTGGCCAGGATCGTAACATTGTCTAGCCCTTTTGCTGGTGCTGCGAGCCATTGTGTTTTGGTAACACTGTTCATACGAAGAACGCGAAATGTTACATTTCCGGTTCTCAACATTGCCAGGGAAAGGTTGTGGAGTTCCGTTTAACGGATGTTTTGGAGGGACTGCTGTTGTGTGAGGAATGAGCCCTTGCGAGGCCCTTGTCAAGCATGCACATGTTCTGGGCAGAGGCCCCCAGCAAGCCAAGTGGCCGCCCTAAGTGAAGGCAGGCCTGAATATTCACTAAAGGCCAAAATTCGACATTTTTGCATATATGGGTACTCAGGCTGTTGCAGCCCGCATCACGAAGTGGCCAGAGGCGTACGTAAAAGAAGCACTGTTAACGTATATATGCCGGGTGCTGTGCAAATGCAGCAAACGGCCCAAGTGCGAAGACTCAGGCCGTGCCCAACTGTAAAGGGCCCAGGCCCTCATCTGTAGCATTGGGCCTGGGCGGAGGTACCGGGGCCCAACTGGAAGCTACTGGAAGCTTCCCAGCCAGGCCACATGCAGCCAAGCAGGGCCTGCCACTTCCATATAGGAAGGAGGGCACCCAGAGGCGGGCATTCTGGCCCACGCAGGCAATGCAGTCACGCTGTTGCGCTGCTGCGTTAGAGGCTGCGTGCTGCGCTGAGGCCAGAGCGTGTGCGGGCGCGTGTGTGGTGAAGAGGGGTGCTGCTGGGCAGCGGAGCGCAATCAGCCATAACCGGGCTGCAGGGAGCTATTGGTGGTCTTCAAGAAGGAGGTGAGTGTGGGTGGACAGGGTCTGATGAGGGGAGACGAGATACGTACCTGGTACATGAGAGAGGTCGGCTATGGTGTTGACGTCATGTACATTGGTCTTTGAGAGTCGAAGTGAGCCCGTTGCAAGAATGCTGATGTAGGTAGGATAGTCGAGTAGTGTAGGCAGGGCACTGGGCGCCAGACAGAGAGGAGAGACTTTGGCTACTGTGTTGGTGTGGCCTGAGGGCTTGAACATTGGCTCATTACTTCATTGTATTGCTCTTATTTGGATGGGATATCGGTGCATTTGTGCTCTCTGCTTGTACACGACTACTTGGACATTTGTGTGATTTCGCAACTTGGTTTTCTGTATATCATTCCCACTCATATTCCTTGCAATTTGGTATCGGAGCTGGCTCGAGATCGCCGTTTATCTGGCGCTGGCGTCATTGTTACTTTGTGCGCTGAGGATGCTTCTGTGTAGTAAGGATACTTTGGCGCTGGCTTGAAATACAGGTCCCAGGTAGAGGGTCCGGCCGCTAGAAGGCCGTGGCGACAGCGTGGGAGCTGTGGCGACAACGGATGTATGTATGATGATGAGAGCATGCTGATGTGGCATTTTGGCTAAGGTGGCACTGCATTGCGTTGTGGGTGGTTACCGAGGCTATGACCGGTCATCGAAATGCACATCGGCTCAATTGGTGAGAAATTTGTGGTTGGGGGCAGCTATCTCCAGGTACTTTGTTCCCTTACCTTATCTACCCTCTCAATCTCGTCTTACCGTGAGGAAGTGAGTCCAACCTTGAGTGTCCTCTCTTTTGTGTGAGGAGTCATGAGCGCTCTACCTTGAGAGACGACATTCTTCCCCGTGGCGCATTTGGCAGGAGAGGGCAGTGCCTCTGAAGGACCCTCGTCGAAGCACGGGTCACGGTCACCATGCCAACCCATGGGAGTAGTACACGCAGGCCATGCTGCTTTGTCCTTGGCGGGTGTCTAATTTGTCTACTGGCTGTGATCGTCGTCCTGATTGTGGCGTTAAATAATTCCTGAGGACCTTGGGGGCTGTCCTTAAACTGCCTCTTGATCAGCCAAATCAATCAGACGTAAGGCTCGTTGCACGCGAGGGTAAAAGACAGGCAATGCTGGTCATAAGCATACACCTTGGACACAGGGGTGGGCAGCTAATGCACACCTTAGACATTGCCGCTTGATGATGCTTACAAGCGCGTTGGATACAACTGTTAGACACAATTATACCCATTGTGCATACATCTGCTCACTTAGTCTATTTTTATTTTGATTCGTTGGTTGACAGACTGCTGACACCTTACAAACAGCCTAGAGTAGGACTATAACGTTCTACCATAGTCAATTCATCTCAAAGCTTTTGTAAGAGAGCTAATCGGACTAGGTTTAGACTATGT